GGCGGCCGCTTCCTCCTCACCCCCGCCCCGCAGGGGCATCCTGGTGGGTGCGTGACGCATGACCACGCGTGGCGAGTGCTGCAGGTTGGTGGAGGAAGCCGTGATGGCCTGCAGCTTGGGGACGATAGAAGTGCCGTGGACGTCTTTGGTGGGGCGCTGGAGCGTCACGGTGAGGTAGGAGCCGTGCAGCTTGGCCTTCTCCACCTCCGACAGCTCCTTCTTGCCACTGGGGTTGTTCTCCTTCTCCCTCACCATGGTTCTCTCGGTGGCCTGGAGCCGCAGCAGTTGCCGCCGCTTGAAGCGCTCCTGGCGCTGTGGTGGTCGCTGGGGCCGGCTCCTGGGGATGAGCGTGTCACCATGCCCCGAGGTGATGCTGGGTCGTGGATCAGCTGCAGCATTGGGGTGGGAGAGTTGGGAGGGGGGGTCAGGGGCTCCTCGCAGCTCCGCAGGGGCCGCAGCACCTTGGCTTGCGCCGTGTCGTCGTCGCTCTCCTCCACCTTCCGCTTCTGTGGGGAGGAAGGGTGGCAGGTTAGTGGGGACGGAGCCTGTGGTGGGGCTGGGGAATGCATCCCCCTTCTCCTCTTCTCCTGGGCAACATCATGGCACCAGCAATACCACCAGGATCAGAGCCCACCCACAGCAGCAACCAAGATTCTCCTTCTCCCTTCACAAACGGGGTGTCCCTGAGGTTGGGGGTAGCTCCTACAGTCCGTGACTCTCACAGCAGAAGCTCTGAAGATCACAGCTCAGCACAAGGCACCGTGAGGACAAGGGGTATTCATTGCATGAAGTGTTGGGGAACCCAAGAACTAGGGAGATGTGCACCCCAAGCATGGACATCACCCAGGAGAAGGTGCCCCAGGGGGGTTGTTCCCTGCCTGGCTTGCCTTAGCTGCTGCACTTCCATCCACAGTGATTCTCTAGGGGATGATGTCCTGGGCAGCGCTGGCAGCCACCAGTTGCCATCACACAGTCACTTGCTGGCTCCAGAGGAACCCGCCTGCCCCTGGTGCTTCTGCAGGAGCCTGTCCTTGGCCTGGTGATGGGCTCGCTGTGAGCCAGGGACAAAGAGCTGGGGGCTGACAGCTCATCCCCCTGCGAGACCCCAGGACCAGACTGGTCCCCTGGATTGAACACTGCCCATCCCCTAGCAGGATGCAGCGGATGGAGGACACGCATCCTGCCCCACCACAGCACAGCTCACTTCCTACCTGTCCCTTCTCTGCGTCGTCACCCTGGTAGCACTTGGGGCACTCCCAGCAGTTGGGGAGCTCATCGTTGAGCAGCCCTTCCCCATCCATCTGCAAAGAGAAGCGGGCAGTCAGCAGCAGGCCTCCCCCACAGCCAAGCCCCCTCCGCTCTGGCCCCGCTGCAGCTCACCTGCAGGCAGCCAGGGTGCACAATCTCATTGCAGATGCAGCACTCCATGAGCTTCTTCTCAAAGTCCTGCGAGTCCTCATTCTGATCCACCTCCCCACAAAGTGCACACGTGACCGAGTGAGGCAGCCTGGGCTACAAAGGAAAGCAGGGGTGAAACCAGGGCAAGGTGAGACGGCTCTTCCCCTTTCCTCCTCCTCTCCCTTATTGCTTGAATCATGGGGAAGGAGCCAAATATCCCCCAGGAATCAAATTTTGTAGAATCATAGAATGGTTTGGGTTGAAAAGGACCTTAAGATCATCCAGTTCCAACCCCCTGTCATGGGCAGGGACATCTCACACTAGACCATGCTGCCCGAGGCTCTGTTCAATCTGCCCTTGAACACTGCCAGGGATGGGGCATTTACCACTTCTCTGGGCACCCTGTGCCAGCACCTCAGCACCCTCACAGGGAACAACTTCTGCCTCATATCGAACCTGACCTTCCCCTGTTTCAGTTTGAACCCATCACCCCTTGTCCCATCACTCCAGTCCCTGATGAAGGTCCCTTTCCAGCATCCTTGTAGCCCCCTTCAGACACTGGAAGCTGCTCTGAGGTCTCCAGCAGCTTCTCTTCTCCAGGCTGAACAGCCCCAATGTTCTCAGCCTGGCTCCACACAGGAGCTGCTCCAGCCCCTGAGCATCCTCGTGGCCTCCTCTGCCTGAGCACACAGAGTTCCCAGCGGACTTCACAGCACAGGATGAGGCCCAGACTCACCGCTAAGCATTGCCGCAGGACACAGGACTGCTTCATGCGGCCAGGGCCGCCGAACTTCTTCATGTCCCTGCAGTAGTGGCACATGCCACACTCGCCCTGCATGCACGCCTTGCACTTTCGGCACCGCACCCGCCTCCGCCGGGCGCCGGACACGATGGGAGACACCGTGGACCTGACGGGTGTCGGGCGAGGGGTTGGCTTCATGGTGTGTGGCTTGGTGATGGGGATGGTGGGCAGGCGCACCCTCAGCCGGGCCTGGAGCTTCAGCTGGCAATGGAGAAGGAAGCGGTGTGAGAGGAGTGCTGCATTCAGCTGGGATCAGAACGCCTCTGACCCGCAGCTCCCTCGGATAACGTGACAGCAGCCCTGCTCCATCACCTCTCTGCAGACAAAGGAGCCTGTATCAGGCTCCAGCATGCCACAAGCCAAGAGCTCCGCTTCCTCCCACCCCCCATAGGAGTCAGAAATGGGTCTGAAAAGGGCTGCTGAGTCTCAAAAGTGGTGTTTCAGTAACAGCCGCTCTTTCCTTCCGAGACAAGAGATGACAAAGTCCACCCAGGCCACCAGAAAGGTTGTCCTTGATCTGTGCTGCCCAGGTCCCTCTGCAGCTGCGCGAGGGGACAGGGCTCAGCTCTGATGTGACAGCTCTGGTCACTCTTCCATAGAATCCCAGCCTGGTTTGGGTTAGAAGGGACCTTAAAGCTCCTCCAGCTCCAACCCCTGCCAGGAGCAGGGACACCTTCCACTAGAGCAGGTTGCTCCAAGCCCCTGTGTCCAACCTGGCCTTGAACACTGCCAGGGATGGGGCAGCCACAGCTTCTCTGGGCACCCTGTGCCAGCGTCTCAGCACCCTCCCAGGGAAGAGCTTCTGCCTCAGAGCTCATCTCAGTCTCCCCTCTGGCAGGTTCAAGCCATTCCCCTTGTCCTGTCCCTCCATCCCTTGTCCAAAGCCCCTCCCCAGGTTTCCTGGAGCCCCTTTAGGCCCTGGAGCTGCTCTAAGGTGTCCCCTTGAGGAGCCTTCTCTTCTCCAGCTGCCCCAGCCCAGCTCTCTCAGCCTGGCTCCAGAGCAGAGCTGCTCCAGCCCTCGCAGCAGCTCCGGGGCCTCCTCTGGCTTCGCTCCAGCAGCTCCATGTCCCCCTTGTGCTATTGCCCCAGAGCTGGACCAGGGCTGCAGTGGGGGGTCTCCCCAGAGGGGGGGAGAATCCCCTCCCTTGACTCCTTGAGGTGTGCTGGGGACACCCAAGCACCCCTGTACACAGTGCAGGTGGGACAGCACAGCTCTCCAGCAGACATCAGCCCTCAGAGCTACAGCATCCTTCCAGGATTGGCCTACATGATGGTGCATGCACTGAGCTCATTGGCTTGGGGAAGGACAAGCACCCAAAAATCCCAGTACAAAGACAGGGTTGGGGATGTGCCAAGCACCCCCACAGACATCTCTAGGTCTTTTCTTCCAGAAAAGCCTCCAGGGATGCTTGTGCTGCTCAGGGACCAGCAAATCACCCTGGATCCCCCTGGGCAGGGCAGGCAGGCAGAGACAGGCACCTCTAATCCAAGGGCTGTTTGTCTCCAGACACCCAGCCAGGGTATTGTCACCCATCCTTCCCAGTGTGAGGGGGTCCTGCTCTTCCCATATGCCTGCCCACGAGCCTGTCTCCTGGCAGGAAGGAAGCAGTGACCTACAGGAGCCATTCTGGTGGGCTTCGGGAAGGCAGCCTGCAGAGGGGAAGTCCAACTGGACAATGGCTGCTCCTCGCCTCTGTCTGCCCATCTGTGGCCCAGCTTTGGAGCACAGCAGTGGAGGGAAGGGCAGGAGCACACTGAAAGGTCCCTTTCCTTGCTCTCTCTGCAGGTAGAGACCCTCAGGAGGGAGCTGCCTTCCCTGGGGTTACAAGAGCCAATGCTCCAGCACAGCAGCATGCTGGCCGGGCAGGGACCCAAGGGACACGCTCACCTAGCAGTGAAAGGCTGGGTAGGCAGGGTTGGTGCTGACCATCACCCCTTCACCTTGCCCTTCATTGCTCGGGGGATACAACAGCAACATGTTCCCCTGACACACATTATTACTCAGTACCACCCAGGACTTCCAGAGAGCTGCTGGAAAATCACCCTTCCATCAGCAGCAGGGCTCCAGCAACTCAGAGCACAACTGCAGGAGCTGGGGCTGACCCAGTCACCACCCCTTGGCTGAGCTGGGGTAACCACATGGTGGGAGACCTCCACTACTGCCCACGAAGGACGTGCTGTGGAGCTGGTTGCACCCCATTGCCTGCCCTGGTCACTGCTGCCTTTCCACCCACTGGCCTGGCCTCCAGAGGCAGGTATGGAAGTGGTGCCACCGTGTCCCATCTCAACCAAGGGCATGTCATCAGCTCAACCACACACACACCCACCCAGGTCCCCCCTCCCTGCAGCTCCTACCTTATCTCTCTTGGGCCACTGGACGATGGGGATGCCTGTAAGTGCCAGTTTGGGGTCGCTGTTTGCGTACTCTTCTAGCAGCAGCTAATGGAGGGAGATGGGGAGAAGCAGAGAGACAAAAAGCACAGGTATGAGCAGAATGAAACAAGGCTCCCGACAGCGAGGCGGGCTCTGACCTGATGCCAATGTGCTTCCAAGAGGGCTGGG